TTCCCTTGACAATGGCGCCAAGATGTCGCCGAAACGTCGGATTTGTCTATCGTTAGTTTTTGCCTGTATATGTTTATCTAAATCATTGTTGATTAAAAGAAGAGTCACTGTAAAAATCGCTGTTATCGCTGTCAAGTTCCCAAATTTTTACAGAACCTTTCTCTTCTCTTGACTCGATCTTTTTGCCCGCTTGATACGATAGCCATAGCTTCATCCGCGAGGTCAATTTTTGCTTTTTCTCTCCGAGATGTATTTTCATTCGTTCTTCGCTGTTTTCGCTTTTTCGAACTGGTCCACGAAGTTTTCCGTGGTCTATGTTTACTTATAACTAATAGAATTACACCTGCTTGGATTAACAATGCTGATCAACTGAGTAGAGGTGAGCGACTCTTGGTGACGTCATTGTTTACATTTGTCCTCATTAGCATACGACTTGACTCATAGAAGCCGTGGCCTTATATATGAACTAAATGCAAAAGTTTATAAAGCTGATTAAGTTGAGCAATTTGTGCAATTTTCAGCTCTTTACAAGCAAAGTTGAAGGAAATATCAGCCATCAAAAACTGCCAAATTGCTGTGTGGCAAAAACGTTAATGAGCCATACATTTCTCTGTAAAATTTCGAGTTTTTAGAAGAGAATTTCTCCGAAACCATTCCGTGTATTGCGCTCAAATTTTCAGAGGTAACTGAAAGTGTTATGCCCTTTCAATATTCAGAGTTTTTCTTTCATTAGCGTCATCAGAGAGTGATAAGCAAATGTTAATGAGGCAAAAAGTGTAAACAAAGATTCGCCAAAGTCGTCTCGCTTGATTGCATACGCGTTATAGGGCTGTCAATCAAGAGGGAACCCTTACTTCCGGCCATAACGTAAAACCTCCATTTCTCCGCCAACATTTAGTTTTTTTTCGATTTTTTTCCCCAGAAATTAGAGATTACTCTTCGACCATTACTTTGGCCCAGAAATCCAAATTTGTAGAAAATCGCCGATCTGAAGGTAAACGGTAACTTAAACACACTCTTACATAACAAACATTTAACAAGGCCGAGACATCGTGATTTGTCAGTAGCGAGCAGATAACTTATTTTCCCTTCTTCTTCGAGTTGGTCTTCGCATTTTTCTTTGTACTCACTGGCGTTTTATCCTAGTCAGTAGGCACGACAACTCGCTTCTCCGACAACTTTGCAAAATCGTTATTCAAAAATTCTAAAGCACATCAAAGATATTTCGCATGATCACAGCATTATTTGTAAACAGTAATTCAGTTGTAGGTCATGAGTTAGGCTTTCAACAAGTAATGAAAAGGACGGGAAAATGCAACAAATGATAACTCGAGTATTGTCCCTTATTCTACGCAGAACTGGAGGTTTATTTGAGTTCAGAAACTCCCATATAGTCAAAACAAATCTCCGGCAAAGGGATCGGAGATCATTTAATTCCTCGAGTTGCACAGCAACGTAGCTGAGGTTGAGAAAATCTCAAAATTAAGCAATTATTTCTGAGTTGTCGAAGGCTGTGATTTGATAAAGATACGAACTTGCAGTTGGCCAAACTGGTCCGACCAAGTTACCAAAATAAGTTTGGCAAGAGAAATGTGGACCGTTGTTTGTTTTGTTTTGTTACGAATCCTCTGAAACCGAGCCGGCTATACCCAAAAACTCTAATGACTGAACTGGCAGTCACTAATCCGGTTTAGAAATAAAAAATGATGTTTCATCCCTTTTCAGAAAAGTAGCCAGTGAATTTCTCAAACTTGGTCTTTCATAGAGCTGTAAATAATATTCGCCATCTTTGTGTAGCCCTCCTTTGTAAAATGAAGTGAGTCACTCCACAGTCTCTTATCGCGAGGAAGGAATATCTCGCTCGCTAAATCTGCAAGAATCACCTTTTCCTTGTTGCGAGAAGTGAAATCACGAAGAAGTGCGTTAATTTTCTTGTGTGTTTCCTTTAAATTAGGACATGTGCCCGATCTCTCGCATTCTCTATCTGGAATTGACACCGCTACGGTTTTCGCTCCAAATGTATGTGAAATATTGTGAAGTTTTACTAACGCGGAAAATATTGCTCTGGAACCTGAGAGGGAAGAGTCTTTTCTGGAATTTCTCATGTCGTTTGTTCCTGCAAGAATGATGACCCAGCTGTATTTCACTATCGCTCTTTGTAGGATTTGATTTAGTCGTGGAAACATTTGATCCTTGGCCCTTTCACCTGGCATCCCTGCATTGTGAATTTCAAAAATGGGTCGCGGCAACGATGCGCCGAGCATTGTCCGATTGTTAGAATCAAAGCATTCTTGAAGTCTTTTGGAATAAGGATGAAGTTCCATTGTGGTAGTGCTAAAACCCGAAGTTAAAGAATCGCCAAAACACAAGATTCTTATGACCTTGCAGTTCACCACATGTACAGGAGCCACGTCAATCCTTGTTTCTTTATCGTAAACTGCAAACTTTGTTCCATACAAAACCACAGCCACCAGCAGAAGAAAGAAAAGACAGCTCCCAAGTTTATTGAACATACTTAGAATGGCGCGGGCACAACACGAAAATGGGTACAATTCAAAGGCTGCTAAGTATGGCTCATTTTTTTGTACTTTGGTGTGAGCATCGACCGTTCGATTAACATAAAAGCGTTCAAAACCTGGCTAATTATATGGCTGCTTTTAATTTCCGTTGCGATGGTGAACGAGTAAATGATACCCTTTTAATTTGCTTCTCTCGGCTCTGACACTTTGCAAACAAAGCGCAACATCTATCCGGGACTGATCAAACTCCACTTCGGAAGCGAAGTTATAAGATTGCTGTCACACACCATATCAGTCAAATCACGTGAGCCTCAAGCTTGTTTTCGCTGTTAGCTGCTACTTGGTAAAAGTATAAAATTTGTGCTCATTAAACTCCCAATTACGAATCGAACCAGGACGAGATAGCCCCAGAACAAGTTTGATGTTTATACTGAAACTGGCTACACCAAACGAAAATAGGCGGAGTCTATTTTTTTGTCGAGGGTAACTTTTTTTCTGAGTTTTTTTTTCAAATGTCACAAATCGTAAGAGTGCCTGCCAGTAAAAATCAGACAAATTCTTAATTTCGCGACAAGGGTCGAAAATTTGATTTCGTTCATTTTCCTATGGTAGATAGGCTAGGGCATGACAAAAACTACTGGATAGTGTTTTTGGCAAAATACCCTTTTATTTCAAAGAAATATGCAAATTACCAAATTCCGTTAAAATCGTCATTTG